ATATATATATATATATATATATATATATATATATACAAGGAGAATTTAAACGACACTGATGTAACTTTTACTAAATATTACACTACTTAATAAATTTATATTAAATATGAATTTTATAAATCCAATCGCTAGATTAAAAATTCTTTACTCTTAGATCATATATACAAAATTTTATATTAATCCAAGATGATTTGATACTTCATTCTTATAAAACAAAATTAACGTAATATATACATTTCAAAATATAATAAAATATGAACACTTTAATTACCTTTAAGTTATTGTTCAATTTTAATAAAATTTGATATATACATATAAAGTGATATGAACTTTCAATCTAATGGTTAAATTTATAAAATTCACATTTAATATAGAGTTATTAAGCGGTATAATACTTAATAAAAGTTACATCGGTATCGTTTGAACCCTTTTATATCTATATATATGTGTGTGTATGTATAAATAAAAGAAGGATTCATTTACTTTAATAAATAATTCATGTTCTACATTAAATTTTAACAATTTAATCATTAAATTAAAAGTTATTAATGCATAGATCAAATTTATAAATTTTTAAAAATTTTGAAAACTTTAATATTTCATTTCATCAATTTAAAAATGATGGATAATCATAAAAATATTTTATACATTGATTTGTATTAATGAAACAGAGTATCAAATAATTTTAAATTTTTTAAACATTTTGTAGACTTGATTTATACATTAATAACATTTAATTAAATGGTTGTATCTCTTGAAATTCGATATAGAATCGTGAGTTATTGAGTGAAGTAAGTTTAGGTAAGCTTACTCTTGGAGTAAGTAAATCCCTCATTTATGTGTGTGTGTGTGTGTTTTGTGTGATTATCAAATAGTTTTCAATTTTTTTTTAAACTTTGAATACTTGGTCTATGAATTAAGACTTTTAATTTAATGATTGGATTGTTAAAAATTGATGTAGAATATGAGTTATTGAGTGGAGTAAATCTTAGTAGACTTACTCTTTAAGTAAGTAAATACCACCTCATATGTGTGTGTGTGTGTGTGTAACATTGTATGTTTTAGGTGTTTTATTTGATTGTATGAATTATATGATTAATTGTTATTTTGTTTTTATAATTGTTGTTTTAAGGCTTTGAAAGTCAAAGGACTCTTGAGAGTTAAGTTGTCTCTGAGGTAGTCTCAAATAGAGTTAAATTGGTTCAACTTAAGGAAGGGTTTATAAGGTTTTTCTTAAGACGTGAACCTCATAAGTTCTTGTTTTAAGAAAAACTAGAGAGAAGGTATCTAGAGTCAGGAGATTTCTTCTTCATCTTTTTCTAATGAATCTTTTCTTCACTCTTCCTTATAGCTAATTCGGTCGACAAATTTGGAGATTCAAGCTTCCAAAGTTAGGAATCTCGAGTCGGAATCATGTGGAGTTCATTATCTTCTTCCTCACCTCTTCTCTTTTGGAGCGACTAGAGGCAAGGGAAGTTTGTGGATTGAACTTGTTGATTTCTAATTGTTGAAATCTTCTTATAATCTTCTATTTTGGGTGGTTGTACTAATTGAATCCATGAGTTGATGGTGTTGTTTAAAAGGTTTTTTTGAAGGTGCTTTAAGATGATGTTGAATTTGGTGTTTGATGGTTGCATGTA